CCCCGCCGGCCTTAGCCCCACCCCAGCACCCCGCCCGCGCCTCCGATGGCCCTGGCCCCGTACTGGAAGGGACGCGGCCCCCCGCACAGGTGCGGGGAAAGCAGGAGCGCGGGGGTGAGCTTGGAGGCCACGCACACGGCCCTGGCCTCGGGCACCACCTGCCCTGGTTTCCTAGGAAAAGGCACGCAAGCCGGGCAGGGCAGCAGAGGCCTGTGATCCCGGCAAAGCAAGCGCCCAGCCTCCCTGGCACGTGGAGCCTGGAGGGCGGGCCTGACCTGCGCCCTCGCTCAGGGTGTGAACTCAGGGCTCTGCACCACTTGAGCAAGGCCCCAGTCCTGCTTTATGCTGGTCTAGTTTTGGGCTTCCCGTTGTTGCTGGGCTGACAGGCCCACGCTGTCGGCCTCTGCAGGCTGGCCTCAGACACGGTCCTTCCCATCTCAGCCTCCCAAGCAGCCTGGATAACAGCCATGAGGCCCGGCCCCCAGCTGAGGCCGAGGGACTCCACTACAGCACAGGAAATGGGCGAAGGTGCTGCGTGCCAGAGCAGCTGATGCCAGATGACACTAGCTAGGTGTCAGGGCTCACGCCTCACATCCCGGCTGAGAGCTGGGAATCAAGGTTCAAAGCCAGCCTTGGCAGGATAATCGCTCAGAGTCTTAATCTCTGATAAACCAGGAGAAAACCAAAAGTGGCTTGTGGCTCAAGTGGTAGAGCGCTCACCTTGAGATGAAGAGCTGAGGGACAGCGCCCAGGCCCTAAGTTCAAGCACTAAGGCAGAGAGAGAGAGGGAGGGGGGAAGAGAGGGGGAGAAGGAGAGAGAGAGAGAGGAAGAGAGAGGAAGAGAGAAAGAACATCTATCTCATCCTAAGTCATGGCTGTCACCCTTGCGACTTGGGAGAATGAGAGGATTGCTGTTCAAAGCCAGCCTGGACGCAAACGCTCACGAGACCCTCTTCTTGAGAGTGCCAAGCACAGTGCTGAGTACCTATTGTTCCAGCTAAGATGTGAGCCGCAAGACAAGCAGGTGGAGGCCGGGCGCAGCAGGGAGGGAAGCGAGGCCCTCTCCAGACACGCGGCCCGCAGCGGCGGAGCGCCCGCTGGGCAAGCCGAGGCCGCGAGTCCAGCCCCTGGTGCTGGGGCAGGCCTGGCGGCGCGTTACCTGCGGCTGCTTGACGCCGTGCTTGGGGGACAGGCTGCCCGCGCTGTTGAGGCTGCTCACGCTGCCGTGGGAGGGCGTGGAGCGCAGGCTGTCCTTGGGCGGGGGGCTGGCGGGCAGCACGGGCACGGCGCCGGGGAACACGGCCTTCTTCCTCTTGGAGGGCGGGATGAGGGCGGGGGGCAGCGCGGAGGGCACCGGCTCCTTCTCCAGCGCCCGGTACACCAAGTGCATGGCCTGGGGGCCAGACCACGGGGTGAGGGCACGCCCCCCCGTGGGCCCCGCCCCTGGTCCCTGTGGGGCGTCCCGATGTCTGTGCAGGGGCTGCAGGCGCCAGGACCTACGGCCAAGCTGCCCTCTGCACCTGAGGCTTTGTCGTCCTCAGTCTCTTCAGGGTCCAGACATACGACCCAGAAAGTTCTACAAGGCGGGGCCGCTCCTGCAGGGCCTGTGCCTAGCTGGCGTCCGGCTCTGAGGCTCCGTGCCTCCCAACCGGGCGCGGGGACTACAGGTCTGTGCCTTGCCACTTGGCGTGGGGCCATCTGGGGGCGCTGTGCGGCTAGGGGGGTGTCGGGGCCCGGGGTCTGTCATCTGGGGGCTGTGTGTGTGTGGGGGGGTGTCGGGGCCCGGGGTCTGTCATCTGGAGGCACTGTGCATCTGGGGGTCGGGGTCAGGGTCTGTCATCTGGGGGTGCTGTGTGTGTGTGGGTGTCGGGGCCTGGGGTCTGTCACCTGGGGGTTCTGTGTGTGGGGGAGGGGTCAGGGCCCGGGGTCTGTCATCTGGAGGCACTGTGCATCTGGGGGTCGGGGCCAGGGTCTGTCATCTGGGGGTGCTGTGTGGTGGTGGGGCCTGGGGGTCTGTCATGTGTAGACGCTGTGCATCTCAGGGTCGGGGTCCGGGATCTATCATCTGGGGACGCTGTGCGGCGGTGGGGGTCAGGGCCTGGGGCCTGTCATCTGGGGGCGCTGTGCGGCGGTGGGGGTCGGGGCCCGGGGCCTGTCATCTGGGGGCGCTGTGCGGCGGTGGGGGTCGGGGCCCGGGGCCTGTCATCTGGGGGCGCTGTGCATCTCGTGGGGGTCGGGGCCCGGGGCCTGTCATCTGGGGGCGCTGTGCGGCGGTGGGGGTCGGGGTCGGGGCCTACCACGGCAAACTCGTCCCGGTCCAGGTGGCCGTCCTTGTCGATGTCGCTGAGGTCCCAGACCTGCGGGCAAGGCCGGGCGGGGTCGGCGAGGACGCTGGTGCAGGGCGACCCAGACCTCTCCATGTGGGGGACAGCTGCGCGCGCCCGGCCCTGAGGGCCCGGCTGAGGAGGGGCTCCGGGAACCTCGGTTCCCCACGGCCACACAGGACTCTTCTCCCCGCCCTGCGGGCCCTGCGACCCACCGGGGGCCACCGGCAGAGCCCGCGCGCGGCGCTCAAGCGTGGGCTGAGAAAGGAGCCCACAGGCCTCCGCCTCTCCTTCCAGCCTGAGCCGTGCAGCTGAACGGGGAACGTCAGGAGCCTCCACGAGTGCACGCATGCGCGGGCGCGTGGACGAGCACGCTGCGGTGGAGGGGCCTCCACGAGTGCACGCATGCGCGGGCGCGTGGACGAGCACACTGTGGGGTGGAGGGGCCTCCACGAGTGCACGCATGCGCGGGCGTGTGGACGAGCACGCTGCGGTGGAGGGGCCTCCACGAGTGCACGCATGCGCAGGTGAGTAGATGAGCACGCTGTGGGGTGGAGGGGCCTCCACGAGTGTGCGCATGCGCGGGCGCGTGGACGAG